GCAAGCCTGGTGGATATCTAAAACAAACTCTAAGAGAATTTAAGACAGATGAATTCTGGAGGGATATTTTTTCCTTGACTCAAGATTATTAAGGCGATTATTAAGGTGATTAAATCTGAAAGCCCCTCTGATCTGTGTTAGCACCACTTGCTAGTGAGATATCTACATGTAGCTGCCAAAGAAAGATCAATACAAGGGTGACTAAAAGGAAAACAGATAATTGCTGAGATATACTGGAAGATCCACAAAGAGTTTTCAGGGTCCACACTCACCAGGAAGAAGATGAAATGCAAGGGAGATCCTCTAAATGGTGTCACTCAGAGATCTCAGGGAAGCAAGTGGCAGTAAAATGAAGTCATCAGGGAACCAAGCTGGAAGCAATGGTTTGATACAGCATCATGTTCAGCACGGGGAACCCAGCATTGCTCCTTCAACAGCCTCAAACTAATTAAAAAGTTTCTTGCCTCAATAACCTCCATTTTCCCCCACTGCTCTGTCACATGGCCTGTCCTGGTCAGAGAGAAGGGACCATATTCTGCAAACATTTACAATTACCTTTGCTCTCCCAAACTGTTTTGGGAAAGCAGGTGGACACAAGGTTCATAAACATTTGTAGTGTTGGGTTCTTGACACAGAGTGTCTGACACCGTTTTCTTTTCAGCTGCCTTATCAAGGTGAGTTGAGAATCCAAGATCTTGAAATACTTGGCAAGCAGATAACTACAGCATATTCTACTTCAACATATTGCAAAACTTTGTATGATCTTTAGTCTCTAAGGTGTTGCCTGTTTAGGTATAGACAAATCCACATTTTGAAATGAAAAGTTGGTCGTACTAAAAAAAAAACCCTGGAGATTACAGTGCCTGTCAGTGCTGTGTGTGACTCCACTTGGCCTTTTTAATTCCCATTTCCCTGGTTGAGGAAGGCTGGTGCTGGGGCAGGAGCAGGCTGTGCTGGGGGCAGAGCAGGCTGTGCTGGGGGACCGGCTCTGATGAAGTGAAGGGCTCGTGTGCTGCTGGCTCTGAGGTGAAAACAACCACTCTGAAATCTCAGGGCTTCCTTAGAAATGTAAAAAAATGGGGTGGGAGCATAAGTTAATTGTGCTTTTACACACTGTTATACTTGTCAGCGTGCCAGACTCTACATTTCTTCCAAGGGTGAAATGAAAACTCCAAATTCATGTGGTTATGAAACAATTTCAGAATGAGCACTCAGCAAAGAATTATAAAGTGGGAAAGACACAGTCCTGTGTCACAGCTGGTTGAGAAGGGGCTGCATTGATCAAGGTTTCTTGCAGCTTGGAGGAGCCTTTTGGAGTGTATTGAAACCATTCTGTGTGTTGAATGTATGCAAGGTCCTGATTTGTTATGACATTTCTTTGATTAGGGGATGAGGCAACTGGCAGAAGGCATCACCATCATTCCAAGAAATCTCATTTCTCTGCAACTGGAGATTTAGGAAATGAATCTGTTTTGCCCTGATTTACACTGGAATCCATTCATAGGTTGCAAACTGGGCATGGCAAGAAATCAGGGGCACTGCAGGGGACTTCTGGAGAAATGATGATTGCAGTGGGAGACACTGAGGAACAGGGACCAAGCACCTCTCCTGCAGCAATGGAGCCTGAGGTACCTGAAGGCCTTTCTAAGCCAAGCTTGGTGCAGCCCCTCTTGGGTTTAGTCCTGAGACTGAGGGAGTGCAGCACCATTTTAAAATTGCATTAATAACCCTTGTGATTTCCTTCTGGGCCACAGGTACTTCACAGAGACTGTATTTGCAAGCTCAGTCCTGACTGGCATCTCCAGGAGGGCAGAGTCAGTCTCAAATAAGTATCTCATTGGACAAACAGCATTTTGCTTATTTTTGTTGGTGGAGATGAGTCAAGGAGGGAAAAAATGCAGAAAGAGGGGGTCAAAATACCCTGAGGCTTAATCCAAACTGGAGAAAATCCATATTAAACAACTGAGTGTGCCTGAACTTATCACATGCAAATCTACTCTTTTAGACACATAGACTCAAATCCTTAAAGCTGTGTCTTGGCCTAACTCTCACTTGGATTCTGAGCTCCCATTGCTGACACCATGTGCTAATTCAGGCACCCAGGTTTCCATGCACTGTTCTCTACCATGAAGAACAGTTGGTCTTGAGGGAAAACATTTACATAGATGACAGCTATTTTCGGGAAAATGAAAAGTACTGGGTGGAAAAGGAGGTTTTGACATTGTGTGAAATACGGGGTTTACACACAGTAGTTTTTGCTATGTGTGTATAAACGGGTGATTTGCCATATATTGATTCACACACCATTTGTAAGTGTCTAATTTATTTATTTATAGAGATGTATGGAAACCATGGTTTGAAAAGCAGTTTGCATAACATCTGGTATGTCAACAATGTAACCTTTCAATTTACTTGTTGGTAAAAATGTCAATGTAATGAACCTGGCCTCAGCACTGGTTTACACAGATTTGCTGGCAGACAAAGCAGTAATGATTTGCATGTCAGTGTGAGTGACATGTGCCCTCCAGTTTTGAGTGGTTTACACAGCTCAGAGGAATAAAAAGGGTAGAGCACATGGCTGGTTCCTCACGTACTTATGCTGGCAGGACAAATCTCGTGTATTTGTCTGGTGTGAAACATTCCATCTCATTTTGACTTTTCAAAAGCTGCCTTTGATTTTTCACTGAAATTGTTTTTTGGTTTTTTTGGGGGGTTTTTTGGATATATGATAAAAAATATAAGAGAAGAAAGTAGACCTGAAGTTGACTTCAGATCCAGGAGCACGTAACCCATGAGCCTTTCCTGAACTTGTTTCAATTACTTTCCCAATTTATGTATTTTCTACAGACAAAGATGTTGTACTGGGATGTGACAGAGGAATCTAGTGGATCCTTGATTACTCTTAATAATATGCCAACAGGAATGACAGCAATAATATATTGTTTACACCTTTTATATTACTGCCTGTACAAGATGGGTACCATAAATCACATCACATTTTTGTCACTCTGTGACTCACTGCTTGACAATTTGAAAGTAGAAGAATAATAAATGTGGTTGATACTGAATAGAAAAGAACCTTGCTTGAGTGGAATCAAAGTCCATGGATGGCACCAGATGTTCTTTATTTTAGGGAGTTTGGGCTTTCACAGAGCTCCATTGCCCAGCTCCTCTCCCCAAATGCAGGAGACCTGATTTTAGGAAATTGCAGATTATCTCCTCCTTCCTCTCCTGCCCTGACTCCCCACCCCAAAGATCTGCTTTGAGGTTTGGTTTGCAATCAAGTTACCAAAAAAAAAAAAAAAAAGGTGGAGGAGGGCAGGAGACAAGGAGACAGTTACTTGACCACTTTGCTTGTGCTTTTTCTTTTTCCTTTTGTGTGTTTTGTTTTACAGCACCAGCTGCTTCCCATTGTTCTGCCCACACCATCCTGTTTGGGTCTGATTTGGGTGGTGTATGTCTGTGTGTGTGAGGGAGAGGGTCTCAGGGAAAGCTTTGTGCATCTGTTATTATCTGATAGCTTAAAAAAAATTAGAACCATATACGGGCTCACACTCACAGCTAAGAAAAGGAAACTTCACCAGCTTTTCCACAGCTCTCTTGTTTTGGGGGCAGATTTCTGGTATCTTGATGAATACACAGCTTGAACCAATGCCAACTGCTTGTAAGGGCTTCTAGGGTTTTTTCAGTCATTCTTTTCTCCTCACTACTTATACTTGCTATTTGTCCATCATTAATATTTCCTTTATACATTTAAAAAATATTGTAAGTTGATATTTTACTTTTATTCCAGTTGGCCAAACTCCATCATAGGACCTGCAGCACATCCAGTGCCTGGGGTGATGTGCAGACCCCAGCCCCTGCAGCTCCTGGGGGGGAGCAGATGCTGGAGCAGAGCTCCCTCAATCCCAATTTCCACTGCAGGAAATACAGGCCAGAAAGGATCTGCTGTGGCAGGGATGTGCACTGGGGGTGCCCAGCATGAGAGACCTGCAGTGGGGCACCTTTCTTTGCAATCCAGGCAGATCCTCAGGTACTCCCAGATATCACAGGATTCGAGGACCTGATTTTTTAAAAAATGTCTTTATTAAAAATTTATTAACTGTTTGTGTGACACTTCTGATTGTAGTCCTATTTAGGCAGAGGGGTTTTTTAATACATGACATGCTTTAATCAGGTGCTTTTTTTAGACTGGAGCCTTTTAGCAAAATGCACAAATTCAGTATCTTATCTGGCAGATCAGATGCACCTGGAAGTCCATATGAGGGAGGCTCTCCAGAGGTTATTGGGGAACGAAAGGAATGCTGGACAATGTTGGGTAGGGTAAGGCAGGACAGGATAAGACTGGCAAGAAAGTTATATATTTGTAGAGAGGAACACATAAAAAATCACTAATTACACAGAGGTTATGCAGCTGAGGACTGTATTGACAGATGTTGTTGGGGATTATTTTAATGTACCTAAACAATAATAACAAACCCTTATAAATATTTGAACGGCACTGACATTTATTTATTTATTTATTTATTTATTTATTTATTTATTTATTTATTTATTTATTTATTTATTTATTTATTTATTTATTTATTTATTTATTTATTTATTTACATGGGGCTCATGCAGAGTTTTCTCTCCAGCTGTGTCTACTCAGGGCCCCATCCAGCTTGGGCTCAGTGTAACTTTACATACAACACAGCATTATTTGGAGTCCCAGGCACACTTCCCACCACATTAAAATCAGATTGAGTTCTCACAGGTTATGCTGCTGGCCTGGAAGGTACAATCCTTGAAAGACAATCCTTGAAAGGTCTTTCCCCTTTCCCCCTTTTGTTGGGCATTTGCTCTTTTTTGTCGTCTGGATTGAAAAATGAGGATGTGACTGAGTCGAAGCCCAAATCCCACCAAGTTTCTTTGCTGTGTAGCCAAAAGCTGCTCAACCCTCCTTCCCTCTCCTGTATTTTGCCTGTAATGTTAAATTTCTCTGCTCCTTGTTTACCCAGATGGAGGCAACACGTTCAGCTGCAAAACCAAAAGCAGGACCCAGCAGGTCCCGACCTGCGGCGACAGGAGCGGCTCTGCCTGGGACTGAACCCCCAACTGCAGCTTCTCCACTTCCAGCTCCTGGAAAGATGGGAAGCCCTTGAGCCCTTGAAGGCTGTGAGCCACTTGACCACTGCTCTTTACTGGATGAACCACTCCTGCTTGTTTATCTTCCCTACTTTTTCATGCTCTGGACTATCAGTAAGGTAAGAAAGTGCTTCTCAGGCTACACCAACACTGTCATGTGTGCTCAGCTCCTGATGCACAGGCAGAAATCATCCGTGTGTGCACACCAGCTGCATTTTTGGGGGATGCTGAGCCCAGGATTCAGAGCCCATCCGTGGAGAACAGAGCTTCTTGAGTTTATATTTCCAGGAATGCCTGAGGGCTGGAAGTAAAGCCACTGATTAATGTGCATTTGGAAGGAAAGGCCTGGTAGCCACCTCCAAACACACTGGGAGGCTCCTTTCACTTGTGCAGTGAAGGAAAGAGGAGTGACTAGAGGAGAGTTTGACTTAACTGGAAATGAGGTGGGGAAAAGAATAACAACAAGAAAATAAGGTGTAGGGCAACAGATAGTTCAGAGAAGAGGCTTATAGAGGGTTGAGTTTCATTTTAGGGTTCTGATTTATCTGAGCTGAGCATGGCATCAGCTGAAATTCAGACCGAAAGTAGGACACAAACTTAATTGCAAAACCAGCTGAAACCACAGGATGCAGTCACAGAAAATTCTCACTCGTTTGAGGCTGGCATAGGGTTTCACTGAGCTTCAGCAGGAGGTTTTGGGGGCCCCAAAATAGATTCAGGGAGTTAAAATTCAGTTGCTTTCCCAAATTCAACCCTGGCCTAGCAGAATTACTGAAGGGGGTGATTAGAGATCATCCCCACAAGTGGGAGTGACGGCTGGCTGGCACACTGCTCGTCCACCTAACAGTGAGATTTGTAGGGGATATGTTGTAACTGTGGGTGTAAACAGATATGGTCATCCTAAAATACCTCTGTCCAACACCATGGCAATGAGTGACACGGAAAACCAAAGGTCAACAGCTGTTTCTCTTGCAGAAAAAAGTGACCCAAGAGCCTCAGACCTGCGGAGACTGGGCAGCCACAGCTCTCACACTGCTCTTGTAATTGTCAGCTGCTGATGGCTGATTCCTGGAAATAACCAGGGAGAGAGAGGTCTGTGCCTAACATGAACAGACTTGTGGTTGCATTGGAAAGCCAAAACAACAGCTTAGAGCCAGTCATTGCAGCAGCAGCTCTGCCTCTCTGACACCGTGTCTGTGCTGCTCCCCCAGAGAATATTTGCTGCTACAGACATTTATCCCACTCTGGATTTCACTCCTCCTGCCACTGTTCTGCTTTCCTCTATGCAGGCAGACTTTGTCTGGCTCTCAGCAGCCTGAAGTGTATTTTTTCCTGTGTTGGATGCAGCCAGGAATCCTGTAGGATGGGTCAGGGCTCAGGAAGGTGTTGCACAGAGGGACTCCCTTGCACTGGTGCTCACCCTGAGTTACTGGGGAGTTCCTCCACCTTTCTGTGCCTCCCTCATTGCCATGAGGGCACAGACATGCAGGGGAGGAGCTGCAGAGGTTTTGTTTCTTCACAGTGTTTTAGAAACCAAAAATATCTGAGACTGGGAGACATTGCCTTCAGCTCTAAACTGTGCTCTCCTTGGGTATCCTGAAGGCATGGGATCTTCAGGAGGCCTGATCCTGTGCACAGTGGGGGAAGCTGAGGATGTGATGCAAAGCCTGTTTTTCCCATGGCTGCTGAGCTGAGTGGATTTTGGGCAGCAGAGAGGTCAGTCCTGTTACTGGGATAGGAGAGCATTGAAACAGCATTTTCTGGTGCCTTTGGCATTTGGAATTAATGGGTGTGAAGCTTCTTTTCAGTTCTGCTTTTCATGTGCCTGGTTAGTGTGGTGCACGTGTGGGGTGGAGTTTTGCAATCGCCAGATTTCCCCATCGGTTTGGGTTTGTTTCTCTGATTTTTACAAGGGATGAACAGGCTATCACTTCAGGGCACAGCAGACAGCAGTGTATCAGGGGAGGGAAATCCAAGAAAAATAGTATCTGAATACTGTTTGTCTTGCAAGCACATGTAGGCGTTTCTTATTTCTGAAGGCGCTCTCGTCAGTCGGACACTGAACAGTTGTGACATCTGGTGCAAGTTCCTGTCCCCCAGAGTCGGTTCACACAGTGTGGAGTTTGCTTTTTTAAATCCACCACAAATAAAGCCCAGCATTATCTCCCTGTCCCCACAAGGGCAAGTGGGAGGCTTTTGGGAAAATGCTGCAGACTCCAGGGAGGTGGAGAGGTTTGGTGGAAGGGGCCGTTTGGGTCCTCTCTGCCTTGCCATGGGTTGAGCAGTGAGGAAACCCCCAGCTCAGACTGCAAGAGGGGCCCCTGCTGAGGTGCACAGGAGGTGAGGCAATGGTTATTTCATTCAAACAGAAACAAGGACCAAGTGCAAACAATGACCCACAGCTCCAAACCTTCTGAACTGTCCTCCCGGGCTGTGTTGAGGATCCTCGAGTTGGTGTTCTCAGGTTTGTGTGTTGTTGACACCTCCCACTCTGCTGCTGGGAGCTGGGAAGGCCACAACCAAGTTGGCTTTCCTTCCCACACCATCTGCCTGTATCAGGGAAGAAATACTGTCTGTTTGTTTAGGTAAGATATTAGTCTGCCCCTGGAGCTCCAGGTCACTGTAAATGTAACACAAACCCTATTTCCTGTTAGGAAAGGGGAAAAAATATGCCTGTGAATTGTCTCTGATGTGCTGCCAATTGTCAGGGAAGATTCAATTTGGTGGAGAATTACTGTGCTCCTAAAGAGCTGCACTGTTGATGGAGATTTAGGGCAGCTAATCTTGCCAGAATTGGGAGATTTGTCTTTGATTTCCATCAAACCAGGATTGTGCCTGGTTGCCCAGCCTGCATGGCACAAGTGGCTTGAGGGGGAGGCTGAAGCAGTGGCTCAGGTTCATGGGACCACAATGGGACACGAGGGGACACCTGTGCATGGCTGAAGGAGGGCTGGGCAGGGATTTGGGATGAGGCTGGCAGGTGCTGGGGCAAAGCTTTCTGTCCTGCCATGGTAAAGGAGAAATGGGATTTTCTTGCTGCCTTGCCAAAAATCCAGACCAAAGAGACAGGAATTTGCTCTGTGTGTGTGATGCACACATGTGTTCACTGCTAATCCAATAAAGCAAATATGTGACCTGTGGAATGACCCAAAGCTGCCACAATAAACAGTGCTATAGATCACTCCTGGGTTTCACCTGCTTTTGCACTCTCGTAGCAAGGCCAGTGTCAGCTGGTGTGTAAGCAGCACCACGTGGACAGGTGAGCTACAGCTACGCATTTGGGGTCACTGATGGTGGAAGCCATCCCCCCACCCCCTCCCAAAATGGGCAACAAAATAGGTTTCCCTTTTTTTTAAATTATGTTTATTGCAAAGAGTACTATTTTAACTTAGGGCTGGATAAAGGTCCACTGCACTTAGATAAAGCTGATGTTGTACATCATGTTGCTTGACCTACTCCATAGGCCTTGTCTCCAAAAACATTCATCCTCCAAAGAAATATAAAAAAGTCTATGGACTGTGTTCCATGGAACTGCCCATATGTTAATTGGATATCAGAGAGACTTTGCAGCCAGGCATTCTCGCTGTGTCCATGTGCCAGTGTTGAACCTTCCACAACAGAGAACATCTAAATCATGTTAGCATTAGTGGCAGAGTAATTGTTAAATAAAAGCTGTATAATCCCTAAAAAGATTTAATTTTTATTTAGCTTACTACTGCAGCAAACAATAGCTTGCTCAATGGCTGGAAGGAGACCAGAAGAAATGCAGAAAAGCAGTGTTAAGGGCTATAAGGCAGGCTTTTTTTGCCATTTGGTTCCCTCTCCTAGTTGTTTTTACAGAGCTGGCGAGACAAGTGAGGACTCAGCTGCTGCCCCACACTCCCTGTCCCTCCCCAGCCCCTGCAGGCAGAGACACACTGGCAGCATCACCATCTCCATCCCTGGGCACTCGGCCTGGCAGTGGCTGATGGAGCTGAACCAGCATCAGCACAATTATCCTCCCTGTGCTCCTTGGAAACAGGGTGAACTCCTCCTGTGCTCTGGTCCAGGCTTCCAGGCAATCCATGGAGATGTCACATGTTCTCTCCAGCTGTTTGTCACACTCATCCAGGTTTTCCCTGGAGCGCTGGATCTCAGAGGGGTGGGTGAGTTTGGTCCAGCCTGCACAGCTCCCATGGCATGTGGGGACACTCCCAGCCCTTTGTCCAGAGGTTCCTTCTTCAGTGGAAAGCAGAGAAGCTGCTCCTGGCATAAATACAGGTCTTTGTTCTCCTTTTCCTGGGGGGCCTCAGAGTTTCAGAGTGACGCTGTTGGATCAAAAAATAGAAACACAACACCTTGTTCCATCCAATGCTGCTTAACGGAGACAGGGGGGCAAAAACCAGTGCTGCAGCCCCAACCATGTGTCTGCAAGGCTTGTAGCTCCTCCATCAGCCACTGCAGCCACTGTGAGGTGTCGCTCTCCCTCCCTGTCCCTCTCTCCAACACTTGCTGAACTGTCCTTGGCTTCTGAAAGGCCTGATTAGTTGATGATTTCTTCCCTGTTCCTTCAGCCCCTTGCTGGCTGCCTCCTAAATACCTGTGTGCATTAGGCTTGGCATGCTTTCCCCTTTTGCATCTATATCTATATAATTCCTATATACATATTTTATGCACATTTTATACACATATTTTATATATGTGTACTAACATTGAGAGAAAGAAGTGATTTGGCATCAGTTTTGCACTAAATGAAGGTAGGGTATTAACAAGAAAGCAAAGTGTTGGGAAAGGCCTCTCCATCTCCCTTGCCTGTGTTCGGAAATCTCCTTTAGAGATGGCTCCGTCTTTCCAGTCACCCTAAATCCTATTAATCCCTTTTTTATTTTAGTCAATTGAAAAAAATGCCATCATTGCTAAGGAAGTTTGAGATCTACTTTGAAAGGGTAAAATGGACTTAATCTGGTTCTCGTGTGATAAATACATATTAAGCTTCTTGGTCTGTCTGCACCAAGGATGACAAAATGTAATGCTTTAAAATCGATGTAAGGGACAGATCTTTTAATACTCTTTCTAACCTACTGCTCTGCAATACATCCTACATTTAAAAATGTGTATTTACAGTATGGTTTTTAGCATAGGTGAACATATCTGAAATACCCAGGCAAAAAGTGTCTGCTACTCCAGTGTCATGAACTGCTGGGAAAAAACAGCTATTACTCACCAAATCTAGTATCCAGTTCCTGGGGAAAAGACATTTTCTCCTGAAAACACCTGCAGGGTAAAGTTTATTCCCCTTCTGTCAATCTGAGTAACAAAGTAAGGATGCTATAATAAATGATGGCAGGGGCTGAAAAAGATGTAAGAGGATGGAAAAGAAATCATTAACCCACTGCACCAACTCTGCTGTGTCTGATAACAGGCAGCAGACAGGGGAGTGCCAGCACAGCCCTTTCACCCCTGGCTTTATCTCCTCTTGGTTGTTTTGCATGGGGTTTTTTGTTTTATCCAGCAGCTCTGAATCTTGTCCCCTCTGTGATGAGCCTCAGACACACAGAAGTGCCCATCTTCACTTCCAGCAAAAGTCAGTATTTCCTAGAAATCCGCCCGTGCTCCTTCCCTGGCTGCGCTCGCTGGAGCTGCGCCGGGACAGCAGCTGAAGGGTCACCCCAGTGGCACTGGAAGGAGCCAGAACCCTCTGCAGTTTATTATTCGTGCTGGTAAGTGTGACCTGGAAATTCGTATCCTTTAGAACCAGCTGCCAGGTCCCTGCATTCCTACAAAGCCACTCTTTTTCTCCCCCTGCCCCTCCCGCGCTGTCTGTCCAGAGACACGGAAAACCAACAACGTGAGTTCATGCTCCTGACAAGATGAGCATTGTCAGGAATATACAAGCTGTGGTTTTTCCTTTCTGCATCCTGAAAGTGAAGAAAAAAGACCTTTGATGTATCTAAAGTTCTGTTATTCTTTTTCCTTCTTTCAGCTAATAAAAAGGTGTCATTATATTATCACACTTGTGTCCCTTCCATGTTTATCCTGGCCCATATTCTGCTCTGCGACAACAAACATAAAACATCCCATGAGAAACTCTAGGTTAAGTTTATTTGACTTTTTTTTTTAACCTATGTTGTAATCAGGATTGTTTTGCTAACTTAGTTCACTGAGGTAGTTTTTGGTAAAGGCTAAGATTTGCTTAAGTGGCCAGAAAGAAAATACATATGACTGGTTTATGCCTTGCCACCCTGAATTGTAATGTTTTGTTTATTATGACTTTGGGCATGTTTTATGGGTGAGTGGAGAGGTCACAGCCTCGCATTTGAAACCTGTATTTGTGCTTCACGGGTTCTGGGATTTGAAACCACAAGCAGTCACTGAACTTCTTGGCTGCCTTAGGTGACTGTGACCAAGTGCCAGACCAGGTCCCCTCTGTGGTCAGCCTGCCAGGAGCACAAGTGTGACACTGGCCTGGGATGGGAGGTCTCCAGAAGAGCAGATGAGGCTGAAATAGCCCCACCACAGTGTACTCTGCTCTCCTGTCTTCCTCTGTCCTCAGTCCCAGCCTCTTGCCTTTTTAATGTTCTTAAATGTTCTTTCTTCAATCTTTTTTAATGTTCTTTCTGGTGAGTCTTTTCTTTTGGAGATCAATGTGTTTGTAAATGAGTATGTGCTCATATCCCACATAGAAAATGTGTCAGAGATAAGCCCAACTTCTGTAGTGGTGGATGCAATTTTAACAACTCAATACAAAAAACTCCTCACACTGCAAGTGGAAAAATGGCTTTGGGATGTGTCCAGTGCTTTGTATTTCCACACAAATTGAAGCCTTCTAAAAAAAATGAATTCTCATTAACCTAATGGGCTGTAGCTGTTTTACAGTGGAGAAAACTGAGGTCTCAAAATTTCACCGATGGCATTATGCCCGCAGCGATCCCCAGGCTGATGATTTTTTGCCACTCTCTCCTAAATTCTGTTCATCTGATGGTATTTTATGTCCCTGGTAACAATGTTGATGCAGCCATTCCCTCCCAAAACAAATATTGCAGTGAAGCTACTACAACAAACAATCCCTGTTGACCAACATTCACTGGTTCCTCACCTTTATATATATATTTATGTAACATTTCTAAGCTCAGTATGTTCAGTTTCATCCCTCTGTAGAAAGACTCCTTCTGTTAAATACAGTTGTTCCCAGGCCTTGGTGGGATGGGTAAAAGAGCTGCATTAGTCTGTAAAATCACCCTGGGGAGATCCTGGTTCAGTTGTCACCTCCAGTCATTTTGTTCTGGAATAAACTACTGAGGTTTAGCCCTTTGACCTCGGTCTTTTTTTGTCTTGAGGAAAATTAACAATGTGTCCTGCCTAAACCAAGTTATCTCTTCAAATGTAGAACTAATACATCAGAAGTACAATGAAAATACACAATCTTCTTGCAAAAATATATATTTTTTATTCCCCTGTCTGTGGTTTTTGACCTTATTTTTGTCATGGCCATTTACTAAATATATACACATTTTTCTTATTTACTTCATGACCCAGCTTTAATATTTTTACAGTTTCTCCAGAATTACTCAAATAATTCGAAGCTCATGCCTGAGAGAAAAGCTGTAGCTGAAAGCCCAGGGCTGGGATCACCCACTGGCTCCGGGAGGCACTGGGGAAGTGTCAACTGGATGAGGAGAACGAGGAGTCCTTTGGAAGGTATTTACAGATTTTTGGTACCAATAACTTTACTACTGGTTTCCTAAGCACATCACAAATGAAACCCAAGCAGCATGCAGTCACATGGAAAAGCAGCAATGTATGGATGAATGAAGCAACCATGGTTAACAGCAGGACCCTGTGCTGGGCTTCAGAGGGGGGAAGAGGAGAACCAGAGAGGAACAGGCATAAGAGCTGTTGTCTCTTGAGAAGATATTGGGGAATTTGGGATGCAAAGGAAACATGGTGTAGTACTGTGGAACAAAAAAACTTTTTTTTTTTTTTTTCAGATTGGAATATTTTCCCATTTGCTCCAGTCCTCTCTGCCTGGCAGTGGTGGCTGCCCCTGAGCCCGCCCTGGGAACGCTCTCCCCACACTCAGTGTACATTGGCAGCCACTCTGCTTCCCACCCTGAGAACATCCCACTCTGCTGCAGCACAACTGTGGGAGTTTGGCTTTGTTTGTTTTCCTTCCCCCCCAGGAGGAGGTTGTTCCCGAAAATGCTCCCAGTGATTCTCACCTCAGGTACCTCCCGTGGGTTCCCAGGCTGTGGTCTGGGCAGTGGGAATAGCACACGGAGTCATTCCTGCTGGTGCCCACAATGAAACAGTAGAAAATCATGCAACAGTTGGCATCTCCATGGAGGAGGAAGGCACAGTGTTACCCTTTCTTTATCAACCCAAGTCCTGGAGCTCAGCTCTGGCACCTGTGTACTGCAGATAAATCATCACTGGGGCTTTCCCCGTCTTGTTTGTGCACAGTTATTTACTCCACCCTTTTTTAATTCCACTTTGGGCCTGATCCTGCAAGCACCAGCTGACAGGATTGTGCAATCAGTTCTTCAGTGTCCAGAAGTGCATGATGTGCTTCGTGGCAGAGCAGCCTCTGCCTCCAGCCCCAGCTGAGCTCTGGTTTCCCCAGGCAGAGCTCTCAGCTCTGTGCAGTGTGTGAGGGGTGGCCTGGGAGGGTCCCCTGGGTAACTTGGCTTGCACATTAAGTGGAAACTTTCATTATTTACCAACTGGTCAAAATGACTTTGCTATTGACATAGGCTTCATTATGTCAGCCATTCCATCTTTGAAAACATGGGCATAACAAAGACAGAGCAGTGGCAGGGAGGGGGAAATTCCATTTCTTCCTAAATTGAGTGGAAACATCTTCAGGAAAATTAAAGAAAAACCCGAGAGAAGGAGAAGAGCAAAAGAATTAACTGTAGCCAAAGCCACTTTCCTTTTTCTTTTTCAATCTCCCTTCCAACATGCTCCTGGTAAAATCATTACAAAGGCCGTTTATTTTTAAAATTGAAAGATTGGGGAGAGTCATAATGAGATATTATGTGTAAAAGTTGCACATAAATTTCCTTCTGTCATATTTTGGGCTCTCCTAACGCATCCCCTTGGCAGGCCTGAGGGAAGCTGATCACTTTAGTATAGATTGTGTGTGCTTCAATAATATTGCCCAAGGACAGAGCTACTGGGTGGCTGAGTTGGCTACATACTGATTTAAAAATTAGCTGGGCTTTTATTTGCCACACTAAATTATTGCTCTCCAAAAAAAAAAAAAAAAAAAAAAAAAAAAAAAAAAAAA